TTACTACTCTTGTCTTGGAAGACAACAGTGAGGTCTCTGATAGTGATGATTCGCATAGTAAAGGCGAAAATATGTTATCAGGTGAAGATAATCGACAGCATGCTGATGAAAAGATTGAATCAACAGGTGCCCTTGATGCTCGGACGAATGAACATGGAATTTCTGGTGAGTTTCTAACCAAAATTGCGTAGTTTGTTTACGAAAACATGAAATTTAATTGTCCTTTTTTGCATTAGTTCTCGTTTTACTTCTTGTTGAAAATTAAAGTTGGCTACTAGGGATCAATTCATGTTTCTTGGGTCAAAATATCTTGACCATATGTTAGTTGGTTAGAGATTACGAGCCTCCGAGCATGAGGAATATTCTTCGTCAGTTTTGGGAATAAGTGTGTTCTCGTACTTAGTTTGTGACACCATTGTTAATCTTTCATCTCTACTTGGAGATGAAATTCTTAATGTACTTGTGTTTATCTGATGAAATATTGATGTTTGCAGTTTTGCTATAGTCAATATATGCCATCTTGCATGCTTCCCAAGTAAAAGCTTATAAGCTCTTTTCAACACTTTTGAAGAATTTGAAGCTCCCTCTCTCATTTGCAGTTTTGTTCACTGAAATTTTGTTTCTTTTACCAGGAAAGGTGACTACGTTCGCTTCAGTTCGTTCAGCAGCTTTTCGTGCTTGTGCTGCGGCAGCTCGTGTTGGAGCCCTTAAGTTTCCCAACAGTGACTGTTCTAATCTAGTCAACTGTCATTCTTCTGGTCAAGGAGTTACTCATAATTCTACTCTTGAATATGATGTTGGAGAAGTAGGGAATCAGCAATGTCCTCCCAGTATACCTGTCGAAAAGAAAGATGACTCGCAAAAAGGAAATAGAACAGCGAGGAAGCTTTTCCTTGATGATTTGCCTGAAGAAAACTGCCCTGCTGGTTTGAGTTATATTGACTCTCAAGAACCTGGTGAGGCATCCCAGGCCAGTGCTCTTAACTTGGTAGATAAGCTCATTAGTGAGTCCTGTCTAGAGTTTGCTCTTGGAGTTGAAGGTGACTGTGGAAGGAGAACAGAAGAAAAATCAAAATTTGTTCCGAGTGTTAAAGGTCCACAGGAATTAGCAAAGAAAGTAAGTTATAAAGACAAAGCTTTTGGAAGTGATATTTTTGACTGGGATGATAATCGTGAGGATGAAGGAGGGGGTGATATTTGTCGTAGACGAAAAGAAGAATTCTTTGGCGTTGCAAGTAAAGCACGGAAATCTTCTACGTTGCCTAGAGAACAGAAAAGAGTATTGATACATAAAATTTGTAGAGGACTTGGAGTTGCTGTGGATAAAAGAAGGGCTCATTCTGATTCTAGACTGTTGAAGCATAGTGAGACTAGGAGCCGAATGAAAATCCAGGCCGCTAAAAAGAATCTTGGCAAAGAGTTGGATGAAGCTTCCAAGGACAGTAATAATAAAATTTCTGATATGCGTGCACTAGTAGAATTAGGATATGATACACAAGTGGCTGCTGAAGCTACTGATGCCCTGTGCTCTGGAGACCGAGGCAAATTTGATGCTGAGGCGAGTTGTCTTACAGGAAAGAAACTGTCACTGGGAGAAGAAAGAGGCTTTTCTAATGGAGTCATTACTAGGAAATCCAAGGGAACTAAGAGGATTCAGGCTATGGGTAAAGATGAATTGTTGAAAAGAAGAATGAAGAAGGCTAGTCCGATTGCTGCTACAGCTTGCAGGAAGAAGATCAAAAGGTCTTCAAAGGGTGACCAGCTTGATAAGGAAGGTACATGCTGCTGGAAGAGAAAGAAGGTCGAGACTGCTTCACGAGAAACTAAAAAGAATCTTGTTGATGAATTGAATGAAATTTCCAAGGAAAGTAATACAAGAATGTTGGATATGCATGAAGAGGTAGAAGCAGGTCCTGACACGCAAATGGCTGCTGAAGCAATTAATGCTCTGCACTCTGGAGACGCTAGGGAAATTGGTCCTGAGCCTAATTGTCTTATAGGTAAGAAACTGTCACCGGAAGAAAAAGGCATTTCCAGTTATGGAGTTACCAGAAAATCCAAGAGGATTAAGGGGATTCAGGCTGTGGATAATGATGTTGAATCATTGAAGTCAAAAACCAAGAAGGCTAGATCAATTGTTGCTAAGACTTGTGAGAAGGATATGAATGACAAACTTGTTACGCCAGATGAAGCTGCTGTGTCAAGTAGAGAGAAGAGACGAGGAGAAGTATCAAACAAACATGATACGTCTAAGCTACTTAAGC